AAAAAAAAAAACAAAAAAAAAAAAAGAATACAAAATTAAAAGAAGACACAAAGAAAGAGAACATAGACGGAACAATCTACGAATCTACCCGATTTTCATTCTTTTTTTTTCGCTTATTTCCCGTTACTTCTTTCTTTCCTCTTTTTTCTTCTTCTTTTCGCTATTCGTTTCGTCTTTTCGTGCAAATTCGATTAGATTAACGCTAATCTCCTGTTCCACTCGTCCCTTATCTATTATTATTATCGATTACCACTATTCGCTTAACGATTATAAATCATTATTACTTCCTCTAAACTCGAATCCGTGCAATTTGGGCGCGTATTTCATACGGATCGCTAAAACGACACGAATTTTCACCTGACGAGCGTTGTTTCGCCGCCGTGATTGGCCATTGTTCGATTTTTTTTTTAAGGAAAATCAAGATTACGCTCGAACATGACGGCGATAGCGAGGACGATGATGAAAATGGCATGATTATGATTATGATGATGATGATGATGATGACGAGTATTAGAAGCGGAGTAAGACGGATCATAAGATTTCCAATCGTGTTTCATTTTTCAAACGATGACAACCGGTGAAACGAAAGGGAGAAAGAGAGGAAAAAGAGAGAAGGCGTCGAGATTCACCGGAATGGCGAGATCGGAAAGAGGGAAGGTCACGGAACGAGGCAGCCGCGTTCAACGAACTTGGTGCTACCACGCCGTGATAATCGGTTCGATAAATTCGCAACTTCGAAAATTAATTCGGTAAGTTCCTAATTATCGTATTATATATAATTTATAAATATACAAATATATATATATATATATTTATTTATATAATATATAAATATATATATATATATTTATTTTATTATCAACCAATTAGCTGTCACGATCTTTAAATGTGAACGAGAAAAACAAATTTGTATAAATTTTACAACGTTCATTCATAATCTTGAAATAAAGAAAATAAAAATTTCATAAATTAAATTAAATCAATCGTATAAATTGAAAGTTAATTAAAAATTAGTAGAATTATATAAAAATTTCTAAGAAAGGATTTTGGCAGTTAACTAGTAATATTAATTATTTTTCGATATATATATATATATCAATTTCGATAAGATTCTTTGTTATATGCTTTCTCTCTTCTTTCTCTTTCCCTCTATAATTTATCATTTCGTTGATGTTCGTTTTTACCAGTCTCATTTAAAATCGGATAGCACAGTGTATAAACATCAAGGTAAAGTTGAAATATGCTCGATATATTCGAACATTTCTATTGCCACGTTTCAACCAGGATATATTTGATTGTTCTCAATAACGGTTTATGAAATATTCGTCTTTGTTTTTGAATAATTCAGAGACAAACACTCGAACAGACTAGGGATTAACAATTTTTCGATTTATACAGAGATTCGTGACTGATAAATATGTTTTTTTTATTAACGACAATCTGGACAGGATGTCGTTGCTTCGACCCTGTTTTATAAATCAAACAACTTTCCTTCAATGTGCATATTAAAATATATACCTTGATACTATTGTTCGGTATTGTACATTGCACGTATGTAGGTGTGTTTATACATATATAAACGTACATATTATATCTATCGTGCATCGAGAGCATACTTTTTAACACGCGTATCACATACGCATTATCACACAGACGCATAATAAAAGTATTAACACGATCATTGTCGCTCACATACATCAATGTGATAATATTTTTCTCGCATTTTGAATGGATACAATCAATCTTAGATCTTTCTATAAACGGATACTATAAATCGTCATTCTGTTCTGTTTCTTGTGTTTCTTTCGTCTAGCACACGATCAATTATCATTTTCGTTTCTATACAAAGAAAGTCGGGTAGTTTTCACTTTTGTTTCTGATTTTTCTCCTTATTTACTCCGCTTCGTTGTGATTCAACAGTGATAAACAGTGACTTTTACTCGTCGTTATCACGCAATTGTAGTAACGGTAAAAAGCAGTTGAGAAATATATAACAATTTTCCTGATTTCATCCTTGTTCATCACGCGATCTCACTCTGCATCGTT